GCAATTTCTGCTGCTTGTTATACCCATAACCGAACCTTCCTCAATAAGCAATTTTCAGTCACACCGTATGAAATTCTGAATAATTGCAAGCCTAATGTTAAATTCTTCCATGTCTTCAGTTCCAGGTGCTTCATCTTTAACTCTAAAGAGAACCGAATCAAGTTCGATGTGAAGGCAGACGAAGGGATCTTTCTTGGCTACTCTCTTACCTCCAAGGCACATAGGGTTCTGAATAAAATATCAAAGAAGATTGAAGAAACCCATTATGTCACATTTTATAACAATTACGTGAAGAAACTTCAATCCAACGAAAGTTCAATGGAGGAGATCTTTCCACAAACAGGTTAAGTCACGGCTCCTATATCAAATATGTTTGAAGAGTACATGTTTCTCTTTGATGAACCGGAGAGTGAAATTCTCTCTAAAATGAAAGCGGATGATAACAAGGTTGACAACCTAAAGGAGATAATCAACAAAGTTTCAAATTCCATGGAAACCGAACATCAAGATCCTAGCGAACCTCAAGATCATGGCGAACATCAAGATCCTAGCGAACCTCAAGGTCCAAGCAAACCAACAAATGACCGCACCACATTCCATGGGGAGGGTTCGTCTACATCAAAGCAACCTGATTTACCTTTCCAAGGGGAGAAGCCATCTCCAAAAATGAACCATGAAAGTCCATTCAAGGGGGAGAATTCTAAACCTGGTGTTGAAAATTGTTTCATCATTCGAGGGGGAGAATGGTAATACGAATAATGACGACATTCAGTCAAAATTTGAAGAAGAAGTCAATGCCGAATTGGATCCATCTTATGATCCTAACTACCTTCCTCTCACAAAATGGACAAGAGATCATCCGAAAACTCAAGTTATTGGTGAATCATCTGAGGGAGTTCTTACACACTCTCAACTGAAAGCGAAGCAAACTACTCTATTCTCAGAAGTGGAATTTTGTATGTTTAATTTGTTTGTCTCCAAGATTTAGCCAAAAACTGTTAACATTGCACTTGATCACTCTGATTGGGTACAGGCTATGCAAGACGAACTAAATGAGTTTGAGCGAAACTTAGTCTGCAGACTAATTCCTACACCAAACGATGCATCTATGGTTGGATTAAAATGGGTATTCCGGAACAAGATGGACAAAGAAGGGAATGTGATACATAACAAGGCAATGCTAGAGGTTAAGGGATCTTGTCAGGAAGAATGTATAGATTATGAAGAAACCTTCGCTACTGTAGCAACATTAGAATCTGTTCGGATCTTTCTGGCATACACTGCTCATAAGAATTTCGAAGTTTTTCAAATGGACGTCAAGTGTGCGTTCTTGAGTGGAGAACTAGAAGAGACAGTGTACGTTGAGCAACCAACTGGATTTATGAACGAGAAGTATCCTGATCATTGCTATATTCTTGACAAGGCGTTTTACGGTATGAAGCAAGCCCTGAGAGCCTGGTATGAAACACTAACTCGCTTTTTTAAAATGTCAAAATTTAAACAAGGTTCGGTTGACCTAACCTTCTTTCGCAAGAAAGAGGGTGAACACCTAATGATCGTCCAAATTTATGTCGATTAAATCATCTTTGGTTCTACGAATCCTAGCTTAACCGTTGAATTCTGGAAGTTGATGGAGACTAAATTTGAGATGAGCTCAATGGGTCTGATTAACTTTTTCCTTGGACTAAACATAAGACAGGGACCAGAAGGCATATTCATTAATCAGGAGGCTTACATGAAGACTCTACTGGAAAAGTTCAACATGATGGAAGATTCTAAAGTAAAGGTTCCAATGGCATTCAGAACGAAGCTAACACCATCTCTGGAGAAACCAGCTGCTGATATGACCCTCTATCGTCAAATGATAGAGTCTCTAATGTATCTAACAACTAATAGACTAGATATTATGTTTACTATCTGCTATTGTGTCAGGTTCCAAGCTAATCCACGAGAACCTCATATGGTGGCTATGAAAAGTATCTTCAGGTATTTGAAGTGAACCTCATCTCTCGGTCTTTAGTACCCTGCGAAATCAGGCTTCTTTGTTTAAGCATTCTCTGATGCCAATCTTAGAGGATGTGGTCTAGACCAAAAGAGCACAATTGGCGGGTGTCAATTCCTTGATGGAAAACTCGTTAGCTGGCAATCCAAGAAACAAATGTATGTGTCTCTTTCTACGGCTGAAGTTGAATATATCGTCGTAGCGTCTTGCACTTCACAGGTCATATGGATACAAAGTCAACTTAGAGACTATGGCCTAAACATGAAGAACATTCCCCTCTATTGTGACTCAGAAAACGCTATTCGGATATGTCACAACCTAGTGCAATAGTAAAAAATGAAACATATAGCATTGAGATACCACTTAATCAAGGATGATGTAGAAGATGGTAATGTTGAGATCCAATTTCTTCGATCCGCTGATCAATTAGCTAACACCTTCACGAAAGCCTTACCTGAAGCAAGTCTTAATAAAATACTCCAAGGCTTACAAATGATGGAAGCTGAATCAGTACCGAAACCGTTTTCGCCTCATTAAAATTAGACAAGTGAAATAAAGCGAACGCTCGGTCTATTTCGGTTCCAAATTTTTCGGGAACCGAAATGAACCAAACGCTCAGTCCATTTCTCTTCCTCGCTCCAAAGGTGAAGTTTTGGTTGTATATTCTGTACACTATGTACATCTTTTCTCAATTCATTTTATGTTTTTCATTTCTTTTCATAAAATCCAAAATTATTTTCTTTTCTGTTTTAATTTTTTTTTCAAAAAAATCATAAAATCCAAAAATATTTTCTTTTTTATTTTTATTGTTATTTTTCAGAAAAATCAAAATGATCAAAAATATTTTATTTTGTGTTTAGTTTTATTTCTTTTCTTTTACACATATAAAAGCAAAATACCAAAAATATCACACTGAAAGGACTCATGGACGACTTCCAATGATGGAGCTGGGGCAGGTATAACTCTTTTTATCTTTGTACTAGCTAAGTGTCCCTAGAAGCATGATGTTGCATGTTGTCCAAAGCCTCATAGACTTCAAGTGAAGTCTTCCTGATTCGATATATACAAATCGATTCTTCCCAATCAGGCTGATAAAATAACTTAAGTCACGAGCTACCTTACTCTTCTCATATTGAGTCAAGAGTTATTTGTTTGGTTACTATCGCATAACAGAGGTACTTTCGGTTCTTTAACCGCCTTCACACTTTCTCCATCACATTTCGTTTCATAAACGTAACCCTTGAGACTCTCAGAATTTACCACTGAGGTTTATGGTTACTCAACATCTGCATTAACAGGAAACCACACAGACACTTCTAAGTCTCTCTTGACTTTGAAGGAAGAGATTCGTGCCCAGGATCCACTACTTCGTGTCTTAATTCACATCACTTATATCCCACAAATAATTTGTTTTATTTATTTTTCTTTGGCACACTCTTGCACGAAAATCTTTATGATTTTCAACAAGTCTTGATCATGGTACTAATGGCTATTTCTCAGATCTATGGTTTCGGTTCAATATGTTACACTATCTTTTGAATCGAAGGCAATTGAATACCAATGAAAGCAAAAGGGTGAGTCCACATTTCAAAGGGAATTTGAACAATTTTAATATCAAAGAGGTAGTAAATGGATAAGATTTTAAAAGGCGCGTGAATTTGAACCGTTTCCTTTTCTCACGCCGTCTGACATGATTGACACACTTCTCGGGGTAATAGTTGTCAAATCACGCTTTTTCAGGTGTCACTTCAGAAGATCATACAATCATCACTCCGGATTTTTCTCTCTCGTGGTAATTGTATAAAGGGTTTTCTCACCTCACTTTTTATATCCTTACCACTTACAAAATCCTTTCGAGCATTAAACGGCGATTTCTCTCTACTGTTCATCTTCTTTACTTCAAGCTTCATCAATGGCAGACTCATCATCCGTTCATGAACAAAAGACACAGTCCTCACTTCTCACCATCAAGCCAAATCAAAACTGATCATCAAACTCTCTCCTTTTCAGTATGATCCTTACATGCTTTAGGTGGTTGAATGCCTCAAATATTCACCACCTGTGATTACCCTAACCAAGGTGGAGTCTGTCCCGATGTCTATCCTTTCTCAAGTTTATTCATCGGCGTCATACAATAAAGCCAATCAGAGAATTTTCTTTGAGATTTTCAATCATAAGACTTCGATTTCAAAGGTTAGGTTTTGCTCCTTGCTAAGGCTAATCCTCAACGACTCCATGATCAACCCAGATTCGATCACCACGACTCAACTATTCACCATGTTTTATGATATGGGGTACACCGAAGTTCTTACAATTGTGACTAGATTCAAGAAGTCATGCCTTCCTCTACAATGGAATGGTTTATTTACTCTTATCTTCAAGGGTTTATCGGCGAGGGTTGCAGGGTCTGATGGGGCAAGCAAAGCATTCATGACTCTCCTGTATGGTCTTTACTATGGGGTCAACATGGATTATGTGTCTATTCTATGGACTCAACTGGTACAAAGACTCAACTCAGCTTCTCGTTATTTTGAAATCTTAGGTGGCAGGTTTTGGACCTTAGTTACTCAATGGGCAATGGAAAAATTCCACATTCCAAAAATGGCAGACTCTTTGAAGTCTTATATTACCACTTTTCACATGACGAAAATTATTGTTGCCGATCCAACCCAATTTCTGTTCATCGGTTCAATTCCTGAGTCTATGTACAACTATGATTATGGGGAAAGCAAGCTCATTAGTGAATACAAGAAGCTTCCTCCAACGGGACCGAGGCAGCTCACCCTTGAAATGCAAAGATCGATGGATGCTACTGAGAAACCAACAAAACGAGGGAAGAAGGTTGATCAACAAAAAAGCAAGAAGGGAGGACCATCATCTAAAGTTGCTACGCCTAAAAAGTGAAAGTCAGAACAAGCTGCTACTTCCGCTCCTAAGAAGCGAAAGATCAAGAAAAAGGCGCACAAGCCAAAGGCTCAATCTTCAAGTGATTCAGACTATGTTCCCTTTGACCAACAACCCGAACAAGAGTCAAGCGATAGTGAAGATTCTCAACATGAGAGTTTACTCCGAGGAACTTCTCCTCCACCTTCATCTACTCATCTGGGTAACCGAAACTCACCTCCTTCCTCTCCTACTCACTCTATTCCTATAACAATTGCTCCATGCCCTCCTCCAGTCTCTTCTCCAATTGCAACTTCTATACCAATACCAACCCCCTTATTCACCGAAATTACCACCACCACCACAACTACAACCGAACCTCAACTTCATGTCAATGTATCTGATATGGGGGCACCTACTTCAAGAACCGAAACCCCAATTACATCTAAACCTCTATCTCCACCTCTCTCTAACCAATCTGACACTGTTCTCGGTGGGGAGAATGTTGACTTTGATTCTTTCTATTATAGCCCCTACAAAGTTTAGAGCGATGATGATGACGATGCTCATGTAACGAAACGGCATTTAAGGGGTCTTAACGAGAAGCTTGATAGGCTAATTTCCTCTTCATCTTCTACTCCAAGCGAGACCTACTCACAGACTACTATCAAAGCTATGTTGGCAACTTTTGTCAAGGAGCATGCCTCCTCTATTTCCAAAGCAACCATCGTTGTTGAAGAATCAACAAACGCATGCAAGAAAGCGACCGAAAACGTCGAAAAACTAATTTTTTATGCTAATCTCTTTCTAGATTCTCTTTAGGTAGCTGCTTAAAAGAACGCCGAAACTGTTAATGCCTCTATTGTGAATCTCACCAAATTGCTTCAAGCTGAGAAGAAGAATTTTGAAGAAGTACGCCAAAGCATCAAGTCTGACAACACCAGGCTTCAAACATCAGTTACTACCCGTATTGATAAACTCCAGGCTGATCTTGCCTTGGAAAACAAAGATGAACTCACCCTAAAAACTGTTGGATTATGTATCTAAGTTCATAACTATTCTGGAATGTACTTGACCCAATTAGCATGGTCCATTTGGGTTGCATGGCATCATGTATTTGGATAGACTAAAATGAGAGAAATAACACTTAAGATTTATTAATGGGATAATGTCACTGTAGCACATGGAACTTTTAACATTTGGCTAATTTGGTCCTTAAAGTGTTTTTTGGTACATTAGAGCAGTAAACTCGTAATTGACCTTTTAATTACACCATTTTAGAAGGTTTCCCAGTTACAATGCTTATGTGGCATGCTGATGTGTCCAATAAGCTTACGTGGGAAGCTTATGTGTCGAAGTAGTCCAGTTGTCGATATAGGCTTATTAATTGAAACCCTCATTCAGACCTCCTTTCAATCTTTACTTACCCTTCTCTGAAAAGTCAAAGACTTCTCCCTCCCCGACTATTTCCATCCTGAAGAAGAATGTCTTCGAGCTCATCGACGTCAAGGAATCAGCTACAAGTCACTCATGTTCAGTCGCAAGAAGGGGTAAAGGTTTGTGATTGTGTCGTTCCAGCTAAAGAACAACCTGTTGGAAGATAACAAACCCTGGGAGGTGATTCTGAATTGTCAAAGCAGTATGGTAGGTCCCGATTCTCTTGATTTTGATAAGTTAGTATTTTATGGTTTGATGTGTTGTTTCTTTCTGTAAAGAAGATAATGGTGTATTTGTATTTTGTTTCATCTGTTAAAAACCCTAATTTTATTTCCCTCTTGACGATCACTGTGAATAAAACTCATTTCGCTGGTACATTAAAGGTAGTTGATTTGTGATTGTCAGTCAAACCCTGATTTAATTGGCTTTTTATAGACTAGGTTGAGGAAATGTAGCTTCTTTGAATGGAAGGATGAAGAACAGGAAGACGGGTACTACAAAAACCTGCTATATTCTCTGAAGCAGAAACTGGATGCCAAAGATGAAATGTCTGAGATGAACAAATTGAGGAGAAGGATTGTTGAAGTGGTGTTTCTGTTGTCACAGGAGCAGTATAAGGTGGCAAAGAGTGAGAAAGAAGTTCATGATGCAAGGAAGGCAATAGGCAGGTACAGGATGATAGTTGCCTTGTTGTTTGCTTGCTTGGCCCTATGTGTTTTGAAGTTAGGGGGTCAATGTAGTTAGTTTGGTTGGTTAGTGTAAGCTTTTGTTTTTTTGGGATCCCTTATATTTTTTGTAAAGGGAGACTAGAAAGTCAGTTCCATAAGGGGCATTTTGTATGTATTGAAGCTGGTTTTAGTTATAAGTTGGGGTTATCAACCTTAATGTGTTGATGTTGTAAGGTGGTAAGTCCCTAATGAAATGGGACCTGTGAAGCCATTAAAAAACCATATCCGTGCCATATAAAACATCCCCATGCATGCACATTATTCCAATTTTTTCCCTACATAAATATTCAATGCCAAATGTCATGATTTTACTTAAAATGGCAACATACTTTCATACTTCATGTCATACATAAATAAATGACCAACATACCCTTTTCGGTCATACATAAATAAATGACCAACATACCCTTTTTTGTCATACATACTTAAATGACCAAATTACCCTTTTCTGTCATACATGCTTAAATGACCAAATTACCCTTTTCTGTCATACATACTTAAATGACCAAATTACCCTTTTCTGTCATACATACTTAAATGACCAAAATACCCTTTTCTGTCATACATACTTAAATGACCAAATTACCCTTTTCTGTCATACATACTTAAATGACCAAAATACCGTTTTCTGTCATACATACTTAAATGACCAAATTACCCTTTTCTTGCATACATAAATGAATGACCTACATACCCTTATTTGTCATCAATAAATAAATGACCAACATACCCTTTTCTTTCATAAATACTTAAATGACCAAAATACCCTTTTTCTTTCATACATACTTAAATGACCAAAATAACCTTTAATGTCATACATACTTAAATATAAATTACCAACATCCTATTACATAAACTTTAAATATAAATTACCATCATCCTATTACATAAACTTTAAATCCAATTTAAAGACAAATTACAATAAACACTAATCAATTACAAGAGCTTTTCCCTTTGAATTTCCTGGATCATCAACACCACCAATTGTTTTGCCTAATTTCAGCTTCAATATTCTCTCTGACTTTCTTCTCCTTATCCTCTTCAAAATATCTGAAACTGGCTTAACACAAACCTGCTGAACTTGGTTAACAGGAGAAACCTCCTGAAGATTACCATTATCCACTTGGGTATTAGGATTAACCTCATCAACCTCCTGAACATTTACATTATCAACTTGGATAACAAGATCAACCTCCTCAGCCTCCTCATCTTGAACAACTTGCTCAACCACAACAGCTTCCTCAACCACATCAGCTTCCTCACCCATAACACCCTCATCACCTTCATAACATCTAGATGGAGTAAATTTCATATAATGACTAAAATCCCCTGCACTACTAGATTCAACATCAGTAAGAGCAACTTGCATATCATTTTGAGTAGTATCCATCTCAATTGGAGTTATTTCAACCTCTTCATGATGTTGTGGTTCACTTGTACTACCCTACATGGCATGATATAATTATGTTAGTAACAAATAATATGTAATTAATCTTATATTTTAAATTGTTTTACCTGTTCGACATTTTGATTCAAACATACTTTTTGTTTCTTCTGTTTCTTCACATTTAACTTTTGGGGCCTTCACTGTGGACAAGTGGCCTTGTTGTGACCTATCTCCTAGAAAATACTACATCTGATTTTCTTTCCAGCCTTAGAAACCCTGTGTGTTCCTGTATTCTCTGTAGTGGATTTCATCCTCTTAGTAGTTGGCCTACCGTGCATCCTTCTATTAATAGGAGGCAATGGTGGAGTGTAGTTTGTCTCTGGCCACATGTCACTGCTATTAATGGGAGCAATTCTGTAATTGTATGCCTTCCTTAATGTGGTTGTGCTAAACATGTTGTCTACATAGGCTTCTACATCCCTATTAAGAAAGGATATGCTAGCTACAGAATGAGCACATCCATATCCATTCAATTGCCACAACCTACATGAACATGTTTTTCTTTCTAAGTCCACCTCATATGCATCTATTGCTCCCCTTACCTCAAACTGGTTTAATCCACTTGGTAGTACTTATTAATGCCTTTGAGCTTTTTTAAGCAAATTCACCTTATCCCTTATCTCTGGACAAATATCATTTCCCCATTCTTGTCCCTTTAATTTCATGTTGTAGATTTTGTCCATCATGTATAATCATATCTCCTCTAACATGGTTATTATGGGCTTCTTCCTAGCATCTACTATTACAACATTAAAACTTTCTGAGAACCCATTATCAACTGCATCACAACACCTTCCAGTTTGAAAGAAAGCTCTAGACCATGTTTTAGGATATTTCTCCATGAGATATTGATGGGCATCTGGGTTCAATGTCTCAATTTCTTTCATCACAACTTTAAAAGCATGCTCAGTTGTGGCTTTAGATGCTCTCCAAAACAAGGTATGATATATGGCACCAGTAAATCTCTTCTGCAAATTCTGGAAAATATGTCTAGCACACTGCCTGTGCTCTATATATGGCAGCAACTCTTTAACAGCCTATATCAAACCCTATAGTAGTAAAAAGGTTTAATTCAGATAGTCTAAAATTAACATAAATGCATTACTATGTAAAATACTAACCTTATGTTGGTCTGACATTAAACTGAAACCATTGCCTAAATTCGAGTGTAGGTCATCAATGAGAAGCTCTAGAAACCACTTCCAAGTCTGCTTGTTCTCCACATTAACCACTGCCCAAGCAATAGGATATATCTTGTCATTTGCATCCCTTCCATTAGCATAAAGCAATTCTCCCTTACAAAGACCTTTAAGAAAACATCCATCAAGACCAATTACCCTTCTACACCCTTCAATCCAACCTTGTTTAACTCCTTGAAAACAACAATAGAACATGCTAAAATATTTCTTTCCATCTAGACCATCCTCCATATCTAGTTTTATAGTTGACCGAGGATTTGTCCTTAAAATCTCATGACCATATGACCATAGCTTTCCATAATGTTCAACAAGGTTACCTTCAACAAGTTTCAGTGCATACTTCTTTGCTCTTCTACATTGCCCCATACTAACTTGGATACCAAACTTGGCCATTACCTTTAACCTAAGCTTCCTTACACTTATTTTCTGACTTTCTACAATCTCTTTGGTATAGTGACTCCCAATCCATGCATATGTCACCAATGATCCAAACTTGAAGTTCCTAGCACAATTATGATCAGCTTTTAGTGACTTGATTTGGAAACTCTCTTCATCACTCATCTAGGAAGCCCATAATCTAAATGTGCAAGCACCTTTGCTACACCTCACCAAAAGTCTTGTCTTATCATTTTTTTCAAAACACAATTGATATCCATTAGCTACAGCATAGTTACACAACATTGATTTTACTTGCCCTGGACCCTTAAATCTCATCCCTAGAATGGGTTTTTGTTTTTTCCAGTGTAATAGCTCATTAAATATGGAATGAGTTTGTATGTTAACTTCAACTTCTCTCCCATTGTCATCATCTACAATTTTGTTTGCATCCTCATCATCAACACATAGCTTACTCAAGAAAGGATCATTTGATATCCTATTCATATGAACTACATCCTCATTAAATTCAAGGGAAACATTTCTAAGTTCATCTATGTTGTCTTCATTTTCACCATCAATACAAGACTCATGTTCATCATCATCATTATCTTCATCATCATGCCACCCATCAACACCAACCCTAATATGATCCACATAAACTGAAATTACACCATCTGTTCCATAAGCATCAAAAATAAAAGCAGAATATTCCACATCATCTGAAATGGGATTAAGCCCTTCCATGAAGGACATGTCTGGTTCACAGTAGTAAAACTTTTTACACTCTTCATGCATGAAACGTTCGCAGAAGGTCACAAACTCAGAATAAGTCATAGAAGAAAAGTCAACATCATTGAAGATGGTTTTAAAACCACCAGTGTAAGAGAAAGGATTTCGATTAAATACCCCTTGGTAGTTGAGTTCCACCATCGCAAACAGTCCATTAGGTTCCGATTGTGCCATTGCTGTGAGTTCTTTGTTTCTTTCAGCTCGATCACAGGAATGCTTCACAAACCCTAAATCAGTTTCTTTTACAGCTGAATAATGAAGACGAAGACTAGTGAAGTTCGATAGCTGAAGACGAAAGGCTTTAAGCGTCGTATTTCATTAATTGACGTGGCACATCTCACGTGGCATCGAATTAGACAAAAAATATATATAAATTGACAAAATGGCATCGTATAATCGGGAAACCTTCTAAAAAAAATGCTAAAATGGTGTAATTAAAAGGTCAATTACGAGTTTACTGGTCTAATGTACCAAAAAAAAAAACTTTAAGGACCAAATTAGCCAAATGTTAAAAGTTCCATGTGCTACAGTGACATTATCCCTTTATTAATATATTATAAGTTCTAATATATTAATAATAATATTTAATTAGTATTGATCAAGAATTAGTTTGGAATAAATTAAGTGATCAAAAGAAGACTAATTAATATATGAGTTGATTGTGTAAATCACCCATACTTGTATAGTGGGCTAATACTCCATGGATTATCAAGTTAGGCTAAAACCTATAAGATGCTCCATGGTGTTTTTGAACCCATGGATCATGGAAATGAAGAGCCATGTCAAGCTAGGGTTTACATGGTGTAACCCTACTTATGACACACAATAAAAGGAATATGTGAGCAACCAAAATCAGCACTAGTGAGAACAAGAGGGCATAGCCGATTTTAGAAGTGTTATATTTCTATCAAGGTTATTCCAAGTGTATTTGGTGTTGTGTGAGACATTTGAGGCATCACACTTGAGGTGCTAGGCTCACAAGGTTCTCAAGGAACCCAAGCAACTAAGGTATGTATTTCTTACTAGCTTTTGTGTTTAAAAGTACCACATGTATGCTAGATAGGTTATGAACCTTGGAAAAACAAATTTGCATGTATCATAGATTAAACGTAGATCCAAGGTTTCTAGGGTTGCATGTACACCATAGGAGTGTTATAATGCTCATAAACCTACAATGGTATCAGAGCCAAGGCTTGTTTGTTTGATACTTGATGCAAAATTGTGAAAAAAAAACTCAGTTTTTCTGGACTCTGCAGCATGAACTCGCCGAGTCCATGACTAAATTCATCCTACTCGTTGAGTACGTTCGTGCACTCGACGAGTAGAGCCCCAGAATGCAGTTTTTTCAACTTGTGCTGCTGGAAATGAACTAGAAACATTACTCTAAACTGTTTTGGTCTTTTAAAACTTGTTTTAAATGGTGTAATGATTATGCTAATCCATTTACAATGGCTAATATCAAAATTGCATGTTTTATATCTGTTCCTATGATTCTTGAAATTTTGATATGATATTCATGTTCTTATGAGTTATTGTTAGATCATAGGAATTACTTGCTAAATTTGTTAATGATTAATTCTTGATCAATTATGTGTTTTAATGGAATCCATAATTTGTCCTCAAGTTATGGATTACCAAAAGTCTCTCTTTTAAAGTCCATTAAAGAAATACATAGGTTACATAAAATGAAAAGTCTATCATTTTATTGAACAATTAACTCATAAGTTATGAAAGATGAAAAGTTTTGAAAGTTACAAAACTTGCCCCTCAAGTTTTGGAACATGTAAATTCATTTTCAAAACTTTAGATCCAACACCTAGAATTTTAAAAGTTACAATTCAACCCTTATACTTTATAATATTATAAGTTTAATAATAATTATATATGTATAAGAAAAAGTCGTTTTACCGGTAGTAGGCCTCATTCACGAAGTCGGTATATAAGGGGGTATAAGGTTGTTGAGTATAAAATGGCAGCTTAATGGGTGTCCACTCTCACTCACCGCTTCCTTGATCGGTGGAGGGTCGTCGTTAGCCGAACGGGTAAGACAAGGACTTTAAATCTTCATTAAAAGTATGATGAATATATAGTAACTAAATGTTTTTTTATAAACTCCCAATCTTAGTTACTTTAGGAAAATGTGAATAAGGTGCTAACCCATGAAATTACACTTTGCACTTTGATTAAGTTGTTAATGGAGCGTGTGTGGTTAATCGGCACACTAACATGGACCTAACAAGGTAGGAAAAGGGTAACATAATGTTTATCATAGTATCGATGGAGCGTGTGTGGTTAACCGGCACATCGATTGAGGGGTAAATATTAAGGGTACCAAGTAATTTGCATGGTTACTTCACACCTTGTTTTGTGATCATCGGCATCCCAGTCACAAAACCCGAAAGGCACACTCGAGATTGAAACATGTCATTGCAAAGTTCAATGAATCTCAAAGAATCTAGGATTTTCAAAACCAATTAAAACCTAAGAATTTATTTCATTTTTCGTGGTGGAAATTGGTGAATCTTTATTCATCTACCTTAAAATATTTTATAGCTTGGATTATGGCATCCCTCTTCTAAGTTATAAAATATTGTGTTGGGTCCTAGCCTTAATATTACATTTCGGTGTTTTATTAAGGACTATCTTTATACCTAATCTAAACTTGTCTTTCTTCTTTTTCAGATGTCTTCCAACAATGTTGCTTCTAGATCAAACCCTATCGACTCCTTCTCTCTTATGAACCTTTGTGGGAGAGTCATCTTTGATGGATCGAACATTATGGATTTGTTCAGAAATATCAGGATGGTCACTCGATATGAGGACGAAGAATATGTCCTTGACAAGGAGCTTAAGGAACTTGAGCCATTTGCTACTCCTGAGGAGATCGCTGAATATCAGGCACATGAAAGAGATGCTACCAAGGTAGCATGTATCATGTTGGCCACTATGATAGCCGAGCTCCAAAAGTCCTATGAGAACTACTATCCTTTTGAGACAGGATTTGATGGACCGCTACCATCAGACTGCTCGTCAAGAGCGATATGAAATCATCTCCTCTATGATAACAACCCGAATGAAGGATGGTGAACCCATCACGGGCCACATGCAGAAAATGCAAAGGTATGTGGACCGTTTGCTGAAACTGAATGTGAACTTCCCCCATGAGTTGTCAATAGGCATCATTTTGCACTCCTTACCTTTGTGTTATGATCAATTCCGTATGACATACCACATGAACAAGGAGGAAGTTACACTTAGCAAACTTCAAGGACTTTTGAAGACTGCGGAAAGTGGTCTTAAAGGTAAGTTGGTTGTTACCACTCCTATTCCTATCGCGGCCCTTGCCTTGGCAATCGGGCAATGAAAAGGAAAGAAGAGGAAGAGCCCTTCGAAGGGCACAAGAGGAAGACCCTTGATGGCTCCTCTTCAAGTGGAACCAAGAAAGGTTTCGTCACTCCTTCTTCTAACCCTAAAGAGGCGACATGCTTCTATTGCCATGAAAAGCTGCACTGGAAGCGAAACTGCCCAAAGTACCAGCAATATGTGAAGGATGGGAAAGTAAAACCTAACCATGCAGGTACATACACTATGTTGTCTAATAGTTCAGCCCATTCTAATCCTTGGGTCCTTGATACAGGGTGTGGTATTCACATATGTACTGATTTGCAGGGACTAAGAAGTGAGAATGTGGAGCATGGGAAGATAAACTTGATCATGGGGAATAGGAAAGCTTCACGTCTCACCAAGATTGGAGTTTATTCTTTGTTGCTAAGTAGTGGATTAATATTAGATTTGAATAAATGTTGTTACTCGTCAGAAATGACGAGAAATATTATTTCCTTTCATGGTTTGAACAAACAAGGTTTTACCTTTTCATTTGATAATGATAGTGGTGGCATTAATGCTTTCTTTAATAATGTTTTTTATTTTAAAGCCTTACCTTGTGATGATGCATATGAAACTATGTCGGTTGTTAATAACCTAGGTAATAATGTATTGTGTATCGATTATTCCACTAGCTTGGATAAAGCATCTTTATGGAATTGACGTCTTGGACATGTGAGCAAGAAACACATAGGATGATAGTTGTGGATCTTGTTTGCTTAGGAAAATGACAAGGTCACCCTTCACTGGTACGTGTGCTAGGGGTGAGGGTTTGTTGGATCTCATACACACTGATGTGTGTGGACCCTTTAGAACTGCCACAAGAGATGCTAACCGCTTCTATGTGACTTTTACTAATGATTTTAGTAGATATGGATATGTCTACTTAATCAAGCATAAGTTAAAGACCTTTGAAAGATTCATAGAGTCCAACCAGGAAGTGGAGAATCAGCTGCTCATTTTAATACATTACAACTTCCTTAGAGATTCGACTAGCAAATAGGAATGCCTTAGAGTGGTTGATAAAATACGTTAAGATTAATAAAATATCCTAAAATATAATAAGATAGGATTAGTAAACACCCTGCAAAGAGAGTAAATTAGGATTGGTAATATCCTAAAAGATAATAAGACATGATCGGTAACTATCCAACAAAGATAATAAATTAGGATTAGTTAAGTATCCTAAAAAGATAGTAAGCTAGGGTTGATAAAATATCTTAAGAAAGGTTTTTCTAAAAGAAATAAGGATTGTTGATTTAATAAAACCAAATAAAGCAAATAACCATAAAAACATGTGCACTCACCAACATTATGTTGTTATTTTCAAAATACATGTATTCTCAGGGAGATGAGTGTGGAGGATAGTTGTTCCAAGGAAGGGGTCTTCAAGGAAGCTTGCTAGAGTTTATTTTCGTATGCTTGTCATTTCTAGTTATGATCAGGATGAGTGCTTGACCTATTAAACAATGTACTCCCAAATAAATTATAATAAATAAAAATATCGTTTGTGATATACTTATGTTATATATATATATATATATATATATATATATATATATATATATATATATATATGCCTTGATCCAACATCCCTACGTCGTACAGTATTGTGTTTCTGCCCCCGGCCGATGATATAACAGATTGGTATCAAAGCTAGGTTATAGCAAACTAATAATTCCTTAGGAACTACGACTATAACCTAGGGCATATACTCTAAATTAGTTACACCTAATAAAAGTATTATTATTAATTACAGTACGAATAGATTACTTAGGGGAGGGGTGACT